AATGGTGGTCTATGTCCTTGACAATCTATGTTCTTCATTATTACCTCTGATCCTAGTCATTGCTGAAAAGTGCTGCCTTGATCAGGTATACTTTCACCCTGATATACGGTAAACAAAGTGCTATGCAAAGTACCTCCAGCTTTGATGCTCATGAGTAACAATGGGGTAGGCTCGTCCTTCTCTTAACCCCAATCTGTCATAACCTGAATTGAGTATTGAATAAAAATTGAATAAAATTCTTCATTCAACAGATGAAGTCCTAATGGAAGTTGAAGTTGATTTCCAAAGATTTAGCTGTGTTTTGCCTTTCCTCTCATTATAGAGGCAACACACATGCATAAGGGAAGAGGGGTCACTCCCATTATTTTTATGATTTTGCTATTTCACTCTTGTGCTACCCTGATAAATACCACAGAGATATGGTCACACAGTAAAACTAGCTGAGAGGTCACCTTTTGAAATTATCAGTCCCCTCCTCCCCAATGCTTCCAACATTGTAAAAATGTTGGAAGCATTGGGATGTAAAAAGGCAATATCCATGAATCATACATATTGTGCTATATGACAGGCATGTGTTTATAGCTGAGAATCAGTTGCAAGCAGCTGGAGCAGTTTCCATGTATACAAAGGTGTATCACTCAGTAAAGAAGTTCCGTTCTACTGCTGTTACACAAATTCAAAGGACCCAGTATAACCTATATTTATTGAAAGTAAAAATGAGGTAGGAAGTGGCATCACAACTACTGCTTCCACCCTCCAATCCTTGTTAATGCAATAGCACTTAGACTTATATACCATTTCACAGTACTTTTACAGCCCTCTCTAAGCAGTTTACAAAGTCAGTATATTGCCCCCAACAATCTGGGTCCTTAATAAGAGTGTATTACTTTAGCCGGCTCACCACTTGAATTGAAATATTCCGAGATAAACATTTTCTGCTACAAGAATTAATTTGGATAAAACTCAGCAAGGAGATGATTATTTAAGATGATTGTCTATATCATATAAAAATATTATTTATGAATACCAATCATCAATATTATTTTTTATTTTCCACTTGATATTCTTTCCAATTAAGTGTAATGATTTAAACTAATTTACAATGGAATGCTTATCCTAGCACTGAAACAACTGTGGGTTTCTGGTGCTGCCTGAGCTTGGTTGTTTTCTTCCAGATGTTTCAATACCAAACCAGGTAACACCATCAGCGCATATTCTGTTCTACTCTAGAAAATGTAACAATTTTCTCAGCATTTACTAACAGCATTGCAACCTGTGATGGCAAATGAGAATTTACTGCACATTTTCCTCTAGGAAGCAATAAAAAGATATTTATTTGTAACCTGGTTCCAAATGTTTCCTATTTATTTCAGTAGGGTTTACTTGCTGCTTGTGAGTAAGTATTGCCTTTTCAAACAGGCAATAACATAAGCGAATATCTAATATATGACCACAAGATGGTGCTAATATCATAAGAATATATTGTAAAATGTATGCGTTTAAGTTTACAGAGAGCAAAAGGTGTCTCATGTTCATTGAGGAATTTTCACAAGATCACTCTGAAAGTTAAAACTAATTTTGGATCTATGTAACTGCACAATGGCATCTGGTTTTGAGAAATTAGCCAAGTTTATTTGCTTGAGACTGAAAATGGTCGAGTGTCAATTGTTTGTTTTGCAATGCTATTCCTTTAAATGAGAATAAGCACACAATCTATCATTAGAAGGAACTGAACTTTAGCCATCCTAAGCTTATTATGATTATGATTATGATTTTGCAAGTCTGCATCGTAGGAGGTAGACATCTAATTTCCTTTTTAAAACATGGCCAGAGAAATGCAAATAATATAAATTCATGGATGATATGCATATATGTTTGTAAGAAATTAATGTGTTTCTCTTTGATGCACCATATATATGAAAGGATGTTTGCTTTTCCAATACTTTCTACAGCCCAGGTCAGGAAGTGATTATTTTTGTTCTCAGCATTACACAGCCAACTTTTGAGGAACTGAAGAGATGACTCAGTGTAAATGTATTCAAAAGCAAGTCCATCTGGCACAATTACTTGTAGTATCAGATGACTATCTTTTCAGATAAATGTCAAATGAACTCTGGCAATCAATGTGAAAGATGTCACAGTCAGATTGTCCTCACATGTATTATATTTATTTTGAAATTTTCTGAAATGTTTTAAGTTAAATGTTCAGCTTATGATATTTAACTTAAAGTTGGTGGCTGCATATATTAATTAAATACAGTAAAGATATAATCTTTACAAGTTTATATACATCACACTCCATTTTGTCTGCCCACTTCAAGCCTAAAATAATATTTGAGAGTGATTAGCTAGTTTTGAATTGAGCCAGCCTTCCTAATGCTGGACAGGGACATCCACGAATCAATGTGATTAAGGAAAAGACCTTATTTTTTCTTTCAGTGTCAAGCTGAGCTTATCAGCAGTCATCTTCCAAAGGCAATTTCCTTCAAGGTTCTCTGAAAACTCAGTAGTAGAAGCCCCTGTTGAGAATGCACAAAGGTTTCTATATTATCACTAAAAACAGCATAGTGGAAATTTGACTCACACAAAGGACTCCCCCAGCTAAAATGCTAGAGAAAGGGAAACTCCAATAATCTCAAGGTCAGGAAGACATCAATCAATTCTGCTTTAAAAAAATCCTTAATAATGTATCAGTGGTTCATTAAAATAAGGTAGAGCTAAGGGGAAGCTGAATGAAACTGTCCATTGGAGTATCCACTCTGATTATTAGGCCACTTGTGATCAAAATAGCATATTGTCACTCAGGAATGGAATATGCTACAAAAGTAAGCAGCAATTACAAGCAATGGTGATTTATTGAATTGAATCAGTCCATATGAAATTATCTTGAGGAGAACTTATGCTATTTTCCTTCCATAAACCCTGATTCTACAGGTTAATTAGGATCAGAACATACATATAAGAAGGCTTGATTATTTAGAACAGCTGTCCCCAACCTTTGCGACTTGGCAGGCCAGCAGAGGGGGGAAACCAAGCCAAGTGAGCAGCATGCACAAATGTGCAGTTCAACTTGCACGAACAGCAGAGCAACATGCATGTACATGTACATGCTCAGTTGTGAATAGGCGGAAGCCTGATAGTGGGCCACAGCCTGGGGGTTGGGGACCCCCGATTTAGAAAACGTATTTTCTGTTTTCCATTATAACCAAAGGATACTAAGTGGATTGGTGTAAGAACTGAAACTAGCAAGATTTCATTCAGACAGAATTGTTACATAAACATTTAGTAGTTATCTCTAACTTTTAATGAAGGAAAAAGAATGGCCAAAGTCATTCAAAGACACCCAAAAGGCAGGATGGAAAGATATAGACTTTAAACACTTGAGACAATTATATCTAGGGTTTCATCTTTGTATTCATTAGTAGCAGATATTCTGCACTTATATAACATTTGTTCTACAAGAAAGCAATTTATTTAGTCAAATTGTATCAGTGAAATGTCTGCTACAAGATTCTGAATATGAATCTTACTACCTAAGGTGTAAAAATGTATTGCCTTGCTGGTGTGAAGTCTTGCAAGTGATAGCACATAAAACCTTGAATTTACTGGGTCTAAGTCGAGCAGCCCTCAGCTGAAGAAGACAAAATCCACCACTTTATATTGAATATGCACATGAAAAATATGCATGTGTAAGACCCTATTTGAGTGTAATGGGCATTTAAGTCTAACAGGCATCCATTACCCTCATTACTTCATTAAGTAAAAGATACTCGGTACTGGGGCCTTCAAGGTATATTCATATTGTATCAATTGTTTTCACATCATGATACAGCATAATGTATTGTTGGGTTTTGGCGCAATGTATGATTTGTATATTGAGATTTATGGATTAGTATGTTGAATGTATGTCAGTATGGATTAGTATATTTATGGATTAGTAGGTATAATATATTGGTAACAAAAACTTTTCACTTTTCCATAAAATCACAATTAAATTCAGCCTTAGTCTATTGTGATATAGACTATTATGAGAATTGACCTATTATCAATAGGTCAATTATGCTGATAGTTAATGCAATCTCATTTACCATGAACTGGACACAGCCATATAAGCATTTTAAAAAGCACATCTGTCACTAAGAGAGAGCCTTGTCTATTAGTCTTCTACATCTAAAAAGCTACTATACAGGCTAAGCTTACATATGGGTAGCTCAATTACCTCATGCTGATGACTTTCCATTATTGTAAATTAAAATTTCTGGAGTTCCAGAAAAATGCTAATTGACCTTGGACTTGAAACCTTGTGTATCTGTTGGGCACGAATTTGTGAATAACTATAGCAGTCTGTTCTTTTCATCTGTACATACAATGTAATTTTTTAGTTAACAGGAAGTTTCCAATGATTTGTACAGCTAGGAAACAATGTACTGGCCAACTCTGAAATGTTTACTGATATTGATAAATCTTAGTAACAAGTTGTCTATCAAGAAAGAAACCTGACATTTCAGAAAAGAAATCAAACTGTCTTGCTAGTGTTGTCACATAAAATAAGATGGTTTATGTTAAGATACCAACTAAGCAGGAATCATTGCTATTATTTGTTAACAGCAATCCTTGTGTTATTTGTTAACAGAATGGACAGCATGGCTTCTCAGCATGGTTTCTCCAATATAACAAAATAAAGCTAGTTTAATCATTAAAAAATAAAAATAATATATCAAAGTTTCATGAGGTTGGAAACTGTCTCAGATTTTCTGGGTCTTCACATGGAATCTTTAAAGATTTTAGACATTTTGTTTTTTAACATTTTAAGCCCTTTTATTGAAAAAAAAATATGCATGGGAAAATGTTGAGGGTTTTAAAATTTCCTGATGCCTTCAACATGATACAAAAGAAACCAAACTCAAGAGCTCTTTAAGCTGCTAATTCTGTCACCCAATTGTTAAGACTATTAATGCTTTACAAAAAATTAAAAAAAAACACGAAGTAGTTCTTAATGGTCATGTTTATCCAACATTTTTTTTATTTTTAGGATTTTTTTTCTATTGCTTTTTGAATACTCTCAACCAGTAATAACAATCACAAAGTAATACTGATCTATGTATAAGTATAAAAACTGGAGAGAGAGAAAGAGATTTACATAGATATATTCTTTGTTTTCACTTTCTCTCTGTATGTATGTATTCCTGTATGTGTGTACGCATTTTCTTTGCATCTCATTTTATTCTTTCTAGTTGTAGTGTTTCCTCCCAATTGGTTTTCTAAAACAATGATAATTGTCCAAAGAGTTTTGTCAGCAGAACCTCAACTTGAGCTCATCTTAAGATAGGACCATTCAGTAACCCCAGCTGAAGCCTTTTATGGCTATACTTTATCTGTAAGGCAATGCTGATACATCATATCAGACAATAGCAAAATAACATGGAACATTTTCATTACAGCAAAATATATTGAGTTTCACTTTCAAAATAAAACATTAATCTCACTGGCATCTCCCATTACTGAATGAACAGGACATTAAAAAACAATAATGAACTTCAGATGTCATACATTGTTGCTTTGTCCTTCATAGTCCAATGCTCCACATCTCTGTTTCAGGACATTTCCAAAAGGATGAAGATTCCTTTTTCCAGATGTTCTTGAAAAATATTTCTTAAATTACAACAATCACTAAGTATTTATTTGGAGTCTCTATTTCTGTCTGAATGTGATTCAGCAGAGAAATGGGGCAAACTCCCTGAACCTGTGGCAATGTTTTCTGTGAAACATAAGATCCAGTGCATGTGGAAAGTCTGCCATATCAGAAGACAAAAATTCTACTGTACATTAAAGTTGCTTCTCTAAAACTGCAAATGTTCCAGAGAGGGCTCAAGATAGAATATAAAGGCAGCACCTTTGCAGAAAGAAATCCGAGGATAAACTTGCCAAAAGAAACTTTGTGTTTCATTTCCTGGTCAAGTGAGCTGTTCCTTTCCAAAGGGTTAGTCCATCAATTGCATGAGATCAGCTGCTAACACTGACTATGATATAAGATCTCAGTTCACAAGATGAAACATACAAATCTTTGAATGTACCCTATGAAAGCATTTATTTCTTTAAGACTTCATGACTTTGCTTGCTTTCCCAGTCCATTAAGACAACTCTTCTATAGTAACATCAAACCACAAGGGACATCCTTGTCGGGAATTCATTCTGAGAAAAACAAGAAAAGAGAAGCAAAAAATATAAAATATAAAAGCAATCAACAAAGATGGGGTGTAACATATCAATGTTTTACGTCCTCCTCCCCTCAAAAAAAACCCATAAAATGAAAAGGATCAAACATTTCTGTCATATTATAACCCTAATACACACCTGCATAGCCCTCCAATTGAAAATAATGAAAAAATAGAACGGATTCATTTTGTATTCCTCTTTTTTAGAGTTAAAAATCTCCCGTGTACACACTTCATCAAAGGGGCTCTATTTTTTTCCCTTCTCCTTTGAAATAATGATCACCTAGCAATATAATAGTCAGTAACATGAAATATTGTGTGGTCAAATTCTTTCAGACAAAAAGAAGAAAGGCTTCACTTCAAGAGCAAAGGGCCTTTATATGATATAAATAAAGAAACAAAATAAAAGGAAGGCTCCTCAATTATTTTTATATGTTAAGGCAATTTCACTTTCCTTTTTTTCTTTTATTCCATGTAAAACAGGCAAAAAGTCACTGTGCTTCTTTTCCCGTGGAACACACAATTCTATGAAATCAAGCATTCAGCCTTCCTTTAAAAAAAAAAGTTTTGCCTGATGGCTGGGGCAAAAAATTATCCATTATCGAGTTAGTCTAGGAAGAGACAAGAGACACAAGGAACAGAACAAAGGGGCCATTTGGCCATTTCAGGCCAAGAGACTATCCTATAAGTCCATTCTAATTGATCTGGGGGCTTTGCTATGTGCTAATTGTAATCAGTATGGATTTTTCATTGATTTGTTTAATGATTTTTTTATATATAATAATCATGAAAAGAAAGACGGCTATGATTCAATTATTTATTCATTCATAGGAACCTTAAAAATGTGTGTGGATAGTTTGTCCTATTCCTTTAATCTGTTTTTTCATAAGCACAACCTGAAGTTTATATTTAATATAATTAGTCCTCATTCAGGGACCACAACTGGAACCGATGACTCAAGCAGGAAGCGAAAAATCATGTGACCGCAACTGTCTTTATGATATTACTTTAGATTTTTTTTTTATGCTTTTCAGAGTCTGAAGGTGTTGTGGTCCGCCAGCAGCCAACGGAGCTGGCAGCAGATTTGGACAGTGAGGAGGTTGGGGAGGAACATGGGCCAGTCCTGGAGTCTGGGAAAAGCTCTGACAAGTGCTCTGCATCAGAGGCAGAGATGAGACCAGGGCCATATGACAGGTATCAGCTGCCTTCAGAGTCAGACATCAGTGAGGCAGACAAACAGGTGGAGCCTGTTTCCAGTGTGTACATGCGCATAATTGCCAGATGAAGGGAACAGCTAAGGAACAAGGGTCGACTTGGGAGTAAAGCCACAGGTGGACAATGAAGGGAATATTCCCCATACGGAATAAAAGAGAAGTGAAAGGGGAGTGGTGTTTCCAGGAAACTATTAGTTCATTCCTGCATTCTTGCCAAGTATTGCGGCGTATTGGCCAGTCTCCAAGCCTGATAAAGGTCGATAATTGTGAACTATCTTGAAAGTTAGGAAAGGATAGGAAAGACTTTGCTGGAGAGGAATTCACTATAAATTAAATAAAAGGGGTTTATTGGAATGAGGACTCAACTTCGTGTTACTGGGGAAGCCTAGGTCAGAACAGAAGAATATAAATGCTTATATAGCCCCTTTTCCCTACTCCTTTGCCTTTCAGAATGTTCTCCCCAACACTAGGATAATTAGCAAGAACAAAATCAATATTTGCATTTACATTCAATAGGAAGGAAGGGAATACAAGAGTGACAGACACACAATGCACTACATCAAAAGGTGCCAGTAGCTGCTTAAGAGACAAGCAAAAGCCTTTAGTGTGAAACTGATTTGGATCTTGTCAGTTTCAGGCAGCAGCTATGAGTTGCATGGTTCTATCAACTAATGAATATCACAGAGCTGAGCCTGTTAACTTGTGGTTAGCATTTTTTAGCAATGCACTGTGCTGTGGTGAAAAGTTTGGCTATAGACAATTAGTCTGCTTTGTGATTGGGGGAGGTAAGAAAATCATGATAAAGCACAGAACAACGTGTACTAATTAACTATAATGGCAAACATGTAACAGAGAAACAGATGCTGTGAAATTCATAAATGTGGATATTGATCACAAAATTACTTTTCATCATAGATGTAACTGTGAATGGTCACTGACCAAGGCAGTCCCTAACAAGGATTTTCTGTATACTCAGATTTTTTAAGGTATTCACTTTCATGATTTACTCTTCACAAATCTGGTTCAACACAAGAGTGTCAATGGAAACCAATGAAGTCTCACAAGCAGAAGAACCATCTGAGCAGACTCTAATACAGAATCCTTTTCTTTTTGCTATCATTCTTGTACTACCATAGCTACAATGTTCAATGGATAAGTTCATATTGTAAATTCACTGGATAACAACTCTTTCAACCATTCAGAAATAAGTCAATATGTCTTTCAAGTGTGGCCTAATATTAAATTCTTTAACTTATAGGTGTAAATTAATAAACAATGATATTTTTATTGATGAAATTAAGATGACATTAAGACAATTCCTACTGAATTCATGGCATACCCTTATGCTAATGACACACACTTGTTGAATTCATATTTTGCTTCACTCATATTTCTCTTAATCTATGATACTGAATTTTGCACTATCCTTTTCATCTGGCCACATTTTTAAATGTACATTTTTGAGTTGTAAAAGCAATATTCCCTGAGGTAAAGAAAAAGTAGTGAGGGGTTGTTGTTGTTTTTTGCCAACTGCAACTTTAACATTAAGAGTACACAACATCTCTGAATCGTTGTATCAAAGTGCAATAAACATTCTTCCCATTTATCCACAGAGCAAGGGTATCAAACATAGCCTCACTGTTTTGGGGGGGCTCTTTTTTCCTCTTCTTCTCTGATGAATTGAAGTTAGGTTGTTCTCTGTTTTTGTATGAAGAACCCCGATTCAATTCCCTCTCGCTGTAAGGTGGCAGAGTATCTTCTCCTTCCTCTTGTTGTGGAGGTTGTTGCTGCTGCTGTTCTGCTTTATAAGTTGATGGTGGTGACCAAGCATAGTAAGATCCTCCCCTTTGACTGGATTGTGAGCTGAGCTTTGAAGGCGACTCACTATGTTCACCATTCTCATCATAGCTTCGTGATTTCCTTTCGAGGGCGCTAGTGAGGTAGGAGTGGTCATACTTCTGACTTCCTCCAGGTGTCCGACACACTAGCCTAGGCAGGTGTTTCTCTTCATGCATACGTCTCCTAGGTGGACTGTATCTCCAACCCCGGTCTGAGTCTGTTACTGGTTCACGGTTTCCTCCCCTGCATTTACTATAAAAATTATCTGAATTCTCCAGATGTTGTATTGGTCCCACCCTTGATCCTGTTCTCTCAAAGTGTCGTGGCTCCTGACTCGCCTCAGCCCGATGGACCTGTTGACTGTAAGATTCAGCAAAGGCTGCTAATTCATCCATGGAGACAGCTGGCACTCCGAAAGAAAAATTCTTTCTTGAAAGCATTTCTGACTTTGATCTCTGCTGGCTGCGTAAGAGATAAAAGAGATGCTTTGAATTTTTGGTTTAATTTTTTTAGATTAATTATGTAACCTACTTGCCTGTTCAGCCAATGTAAGTAATTCCCAGATGAACATTTAAAATATTATAATAGTATTATACTCGTACTGGCAGCACCCAAGTAAGCAGTGGAAAATTTAATACTGATTGCCCTATTTCTAGAGCAGAGGAAAGTATATACCTCAACAAAGACAAAACTTTTTATCTGTGTAGTTTTCTATATCCAGGCTATCTGAAAAAGTTATTCTCCAAAGCCTCCAGTAGAGGTCTTTTACCACATGCTCTTTCAATTGGATTTGTAGCTATTGAATTTGGACCCCTTGTCAGGCAAATCATCTGCTGTGCTGTCAAACTATAGCTAATAGAACTACAATAAGGATAATCCACATGCATGACTCCAAGATATTCATTTTAACCTCAGTACAAATAATAACAGAGACTTAAGATCACAGAGCTGAGCCTGTAAACTGCTGGTTAGCATTGTATTGATCAGATAAGAACAATCAACTAAGAGAATAATACTATGCCATTTCTTACATCCCATCTTTCCTCTAGGTTGAGATAGCCTGGCTCAGAGAATGACTATTACAAGTCAAGCATGTGTTGGGGAAATCCTGGTTTGGTAATAGTACATATGACTAAGGTTTGACACAGTAGTTGGTTGGTTGCAAGCTAAACGAGACAGCAGTATAATATTTTGGGAGAGGAAAAAAAAGAAAGGGAATTTTACTTTACTTTGTGTCAATCACTTCAAATATCGCTCTATTTCTGACCACAAAGAAAGTGATGAAGTTGTCTACTATAGACTGTGTATTATGGAGTGTAATACATCTTATGAAAAGATATTATTTTAAAGAAACCTAAAATCTGATTTGTTGAATGTGATACAGTGCCTAATCAACACTATCCAGATGGTTGACATATCAGTATGGCTCCCTAAACAGGCTGTGCTTGGATGTTAGATGTTTTATGCTGTCTGACAATGTCCAAAAGATAAAGCGCACAAAATACATTTTCCAGATACGACAATGCCCTTTTACTGTGCTTTAACTGTGCAAGCTACTTTGTAACTTAGCTTAACTATTATTAATTATATAACCCATATTTATTGTGTACAACTCAAGATAGTATACATAATGTTCATTCCTCATAACAGCAGTGTGGGGCTGTTGGGCTGAGAGAGAGATTGGCATGAAGTCACCCAGGTAGCTTTCATGCCTAAGGGAGGACCAGCAATCACAGCCTCCCAGTTTCCAATCCAGCGTTTTAACCACTATATCAAACTGGCTTTCCTTGGGTTTATCATATCCAGTGCGATATATCAGATCTTTTAAATGCCTTACGTTTATACTTGCTATTCATCCATATAAATCAGGAAAGTAAAAATACCGAAAAGCAATAGTCTTCTGTTTCCACTTTCCACCATTGAACTCACCTCATTCTGAAGCTTCCTCTGTCTTCCCTGTAATCAGAACGTGTTTGTGGCCTGGATGTACCACTTCCACTAACAACCCCTGTCCAGTACTCAGCATCACCACCCATATCTCCTGAAGGAGGAAGTGCTTTTCTGCACACTTGACGGTAAGATTGGCGGAAGTTGGGACCCCCGTCGTGTAAAGAACTGAGCTCTGAGATGGTGTTACTGTCTGGGATGAAAGATTGTAGTTATTGGGAAAGTGTTAGAGAAGATACAATTTCTTGAGATGCTCATACCACCCTGAACATTAGTTACCCTCAAAACAATGCTATAGAGCACTGCCCACCAGAACAACTAGACACAAGAACAGTTTTTCGCCGAACGCCATCACTCTGCTAAACAAATAATTCCCTCAACGCTGTCAAACTATTTACTAAGTCTGCACTACTATTGATCTTCTCATCATTCCCATCACCCATCTCGTTCCACTTATGACTGTATGACTGTAACTTTGTTGCTTATATCCTTACGATTTATATTGACTAATATGATTTGATTGCTTTTTTGTACCCTATGACTATTATTAAGTGTTGTACGTTATGATTCTTGATGAATGTACAGTATCTTTTCTTTTATGTACACTGAGAGCATATGCACACAAATTCCTTGTGTGTTCAATCACACTTGGCCAATACAAAATTCTATTCTATTCTATTCTATTCTATTCTATTCTATTCTATTCTATTCTATTCTATTCTATTCTATTCTATTCTATTCTAGTTGCATAAACATTTTCATTGTTTACTTATGATGTAGAAGAATTTACAAACAATAGTTCTCAACCTTACTTATTTTAATTCTCACCACTGATTCTGTCAAAAACCTAGCTGCCACTTGTGGGGAAAAGTCAAATTTTTCAAATTGTATCATACATATAAACTTATGTTCTACTATTATGTTTATCACTATCAGTAATTATGATACATTTTAAGAGCAAAAAACTTGCATTAGTACTATGATCATAAACTTTACCCTGCAGCTCTAAAAAGAATAGATGAGATTAATTGGGGTGAAACAGTGTTTGACATGGGAAACCTTTGCAAATCAAGAACTATTCCAAATAATGAGACATGGCAGAAAACATTTATTTATCTATTTGTTTAATAACAAGCTTATGTTTTCATAAGATGCTCCAAAGCTAGATGCCAGGAGGTCCTCTGCTGAATGCTCAACTTCCTTTGTCTTACCACATTCAAGTGGAGAATTACTTTGCCTTCCATCTATCTGGTCTTCCTTTCTGTTATAAATATACATACAGTATGTGACAAGGGTTCCACAGTATTACTTAATAGGCTCTGTCTGACCAAGGGAAACTTAAAATTGTAGTCATCATCAACAATCTCTTGTTTGGGAAATTAGCCAGCATTCTGCAGCATAAAATCTCATTCTTGCAAAGAACAGAATACTGGCTGACTTTTGGTCTGTAGCATGCTGGCTGATTTTCTTTACTCTCATGATAATCTACTAGGAAGAATGTTCTGCCATTTAGTCCTTGGTACTGGTGATGCTGGAAAGGCCTGAGATAATTGATTTAGCATTTCTCCATCTGACTAAGACCTGAGTGGGAAGGATTCATTTCTTTGGGGGCAATGAGGATGTTGCCAGTGTGTTTGTTCCCAAAAGAATCAAATAAGATAGCCCCATTAGGAATCCCTAGAAAAACTGAGCAATTTAAAGGTCAAGGCCTTCTGCTTGTGTTATATGTGTGCTTTGTTATACTTGTTGGCATACTGTTTATTACTGCTAAGTATATACAGTATCTAAGGATGTTAGTACTAGTATTTGCTGCAGGATGGGTGTATAGAAGAAGGAGTTTTCAGGCAATGGAAGATGTATCACTGGGAGCACAATTAGTCAAATAAAGAAAAATAACAGGCTAAATGTTTGAAAGCTGTCCCATTTCCAAATCAAGAATTCCAGGCCATCTTCTGTTATTTTGGTGATGCTTTAAGAAACTAGGTCACTTTATTACTAACATTCTACCCATTATTTCAGTGCAGATGAGAGGACTGATTGACATACATTATCAAAAATTGGGTGCAGATATTGATAGCATTATTCTCATCCTTTCTGCTCATTTAAGTAATAATTTCAGGGCAACCTAGTTTGGAGGACCAAGGAGGGAGTGCTGATGTTTTCATAAAGATTTCACCATTCTTATAAGGAAATATTCAGTGTTTCCATGTATTTGGTGCTGGACCAGATAGTAGTATTGCTGGCATATTAATCATCACGTTCTCCAACAACCACTCTGGTTAAAGTGGCTAAAGTGGCCTTAGAGGTGACAGTGAAGAAGCAAGAAACATTAATTTAGACTTGTAACATTGCTGTTTGGCAGAACTGTTTCAGGTAGTGAACAGACTCTTCAACAATGACCCAGTAATGACAGCTCCTGAAATGTTAGCTTGTTCACTGTGGTGAATTTGCTAAGGACTTAATTTGCATCTATTATAGCTGAATCTGGAGAGATATATAGATCACCAAGAAGATCTATATATATGAAGATCTATATCTTCATGTTTTAGTTGACCAGTTTCAGTTTTTGAGTATTGAGGATAGCAATATGTTCCACCTATCACCTGCAAATTTGATTTTTGTCCATTTTGCTTATTACATCTAGCAGACAGGAACTGATGATATTGATCCAGGGAGAGGTAAATGCCTTCTCTGCTCGAAAAGAAGTGGTGGTTTAATCCTTTCTAAAGACCACACCTTAGACTTGGGAGATACTTGAGAACTATTGCCCTATTACAGATATTATTGCTTGGGCAAAATGCTTGATAGGATGATAAACAATTTATTTATGTGTTATTGGATAATATTGATACACTAGACCTGTTCCAGTTTGCTTTCAGGCCTGGTTTGGCACTGAAGCTACTTTGGTTTCTTTGCTAGATAACAGATTCAATGGGAAATACAGGATAAGTGCAACTTTCTAATCTCTCCTGGATTTAATCTTAGTATTTTACCATCTACAGCTGAAGCATTATTTTTCAATGGCTTGGTGCCTACTCCAGAAAAGATTAAGGGACTACAGAGTCCCTGGCTCCAGAACAGATCCATTTTATCACTCTTGTTTAATATCTATATTAATTCTATTATGGTGCTATCATCAGTAGATTTGGAGTTGAGTATCATTTGTATACTGATGATATCTCTAGCTCTAATTGGTAGGTTTTTTTGTAGATTACTTTTGCCTGGAATTGGATCAATAAGCAGAAGTTGAATCCAACAAGATGGAAACACTGTGGATTGATTGTCTATGAACTGGAAAAAAGTTCAGTTCTGGGTGACATTACTATTTATTCCCTACGAAGAAGGTGGTACCCAGTGTTGGGGTATTAGATTTTCTTCTGTCACTTGAATGCTGGCAGCTGCTGGCATGCCCTTCTGATCAGGGATAATCCATGCCCTGGTAACATATGCATATTTGAGTTATTGCAATGAACTTGATATGGGTGTGTTATTCTGGATCTGTTCTTGAAGATGGCACAAAAAATGCTGCTAGTATAGAATGCAGAAGTGATTATTGCTTTGCTTACTTCACTTAGATGTATTCCTTTATTTTGAGTTTCTGGCTTATACATTTCTTTGAAAAGTTTCTTTGAACAGTGGGAGGCTATACATTTTTTAAAGAACTAAATGTCTGGTAAGTCTAATTTTAAAGATTGGTCCAGTTTAAAAATATTACAAAAATATTACATGACTGCAGATCAGAGCTCAATAGGGGGAAAAAAGTTCAGGGGAAAAAAATAGAGACTACATCTTAAAAAGTGGGGCCTTTATAGTGAAGTCTGCTTATAGAACAGCATATCAAACCAATGTGACATTTATATTATAATGTAAACATTTTCATATGCATTATTTCTATGGTGTCAGAAATATGGGATCTCAGTAATACTTTTTCTGGAATGGTAAATGCAGCTTTTCACAATGACTTGATGTTTCCCACCCATCACCCCCATTGCTTATCCCACTGCATGCAATGACATTTGGATCCTAGGCATTCCAATCTGGAGGGAACCTTTTTATAGTATTCTTAGTGGGTGGCAATGGCAGCATGTTCAGTGATGAGTGTTGTAGAACACCATGTAATTTGCTAGTTTTTCTCAGAACTATGTTTAAAGTCATTCCTTCAGTCTGCCTATCAATTGATTGAGGCAGCCTGCATGTCTGAGACAGCTAGAATGTACTGGCTCTTTTAAAGTGAGTCTATTGAACGTGTGTGCTAAAAATAGACAGCAGCAATTATTATTTTTTACATAAAACCCCCAGTATTCATCAAATCTGAGAGGACTAGATGAGTCAATGACTTGGGTTACTATTTTGTTTCACTTGAAATGATTGCTATATACAGATAGATATAAGATAAAGTATCCGTGGGTAGCAATTTGTGGACATGCACCTGCTATAATATTCTTTAGGAAAAAAACACTTCAATGAATGACTCAGTTATTCACAGTGGAAATGGTAATATAGCTAATTTATCTTCTTCCTAAACTACTTGTTAAATCTTTTTAAAATCTGGTTTATAGAAAATTGGTTAAAAGTGGATTATATTATATATTACTAGTTTATGACATAAACAATATTTAAACTACTTTTAAAAAGTAAGCCATATATTCATTAGCTAAACAATTGAGGAAATAGGCAGTTCTAATCCTTGATTCTTATTGAAGTAAGAGGTCTTATTTTATACAGCATTGCATGCAGTGGCTCATTTAATTGAATATTTTTGTACTTATTGAAAAAGTCACATGAAAGTTCCAACCTCCTTCCAACTGCAATATATGAACTGGATAACATGTTTATGTAACTTAATTTATACAATTAACAGATTAATGAAGCATCCAGAAAATTTCTCCTAAGGATTTTTGAAAATTAGCACTTTTTTTACTAACAACACCTGGAACCAGTGTTACCTAAAGGATAGAATATGGTGGTGAGCATGGCAGTGGGAGGTCTATGTTAAAATTCCATAATATTTTAAATTGAAGAAAGGACAGCATTAGGTTGAAATAGTTGATAAAATTGTTTCTCACATCTCTCTCGCATCCTTCTGGCTGGATCAAACTGGGCCAATTCTTTCTCAACATAGTATAGCACCTTCATAGAATCTCTGTCTTTATCAGTTTGTATTCGGTAACCCTTGTGCACTGCATAGAGAAGTAAGTGATTAGTAAATGTAGTCTTTCTAGGAAACAAATATCTAACATTCCATTAGGAGGTTATTGTCCTATGATGTATAACTGTCCTAGCAGTTTTTAAGTATTTAGAAATATATTTTATTAAATAATAAACCTTTACTAGCTACTGATGATGGGGAGGTTTCCAAGTCCACTTCAAAGTGCTGCTTGTCATCTTTAAAGCCCTGCTTGGGTCAGCTTCTACCTGTCTCTCTTTACTCTAGCTTTCTCCGAATTTCATCTGCCCATTCAGTAACATCTGACAGAGTGAGTTTGCTAGGAATCCCAGCATCAATGGCATGTAATCTTCACTGAATCCAGAATTCAAATTTTCTTCATGGTTTTCCTATTCCTTTGCAAACAGAAACATTCCCAACTAGATATCTGCCACAACTACTCCTAAATTCATTTTTAGACAGTCATAAAACATAGCTCTTCATTTGACATTTAGAGATAAGATAATACTAGGATAACTTTCTTGATTAGTCAATTGACTATATAAAAGCAGGATAAGGAAATTTTATGCTTTTCTAATTAGTAGTGCATCCAATTGATTGAATTATAACTGATTCTGTTATAAATTCTATTTATTTTAACATTCCAGAAATGAAGTGGCATAGCAACATATTGGAGAGGGAGGGAGGGAGGGAGGGAGGGAGGGAGGGAGGAAGAGATTACCACTTTGTGTTCCTGCACCAGATTCACTTGGTGCCAAGGGAGGTAGATGTGACTTCTCGACAAGGACAGCATGAGATGGGACGCCACTACCCAAAACAGTAGGGATACAGTATGGACCTGGGATTGATGTGACTGCTGGAGGATATCTAGCTTTTGCAGCTTTTCCAGCTTCATACACTGAAAAAAAGAGTAACAAACAATACTTAAAATATATCAATGAGCAGCTGTCCTTTTCTTGTTTAGCTAGCAGATGACAATCTTGGCTGAATGTGAAAAATGAAGAAGAATTGGATCTGATCACTATTCGAATTGGATTCCATGAGAAAATCTCAGGAGTGTAGGCTACATTGGAAATGAAAATAGAAAACCTAAAATCATTAGCTGAGCACAACTCAGAAGATTTGTCAGACTAGCTTCTCCTCGATCCTGGAAACATGAAGGAATAAGCATTATAATGGAAATTTAGTGAACTCATTTTAAAGAAGCAATCTCACTAGAAGATATTCCAGAACACAATTTACATATTAGTGCCACAGGAAAATTTGGTTTTTGAACTGGTTAGTTGTACAAAATTTGAACAATTGAATAGACAAGTCCAGGATATAAATGAAATTTGAAAAAATATAACCAGCCACTCTCTTGCTGAGGAGGGGGCTGAACTCAGGAACTTCATATTTCCAACTCAGTGATTCAACTGAGTATTCAACATATTTCCAACTCAGTGATTCAACTTAATTTCATAGCAGTTGACCTTTACTACCATTGACAGCTTCAAGTTAGTATAAAAGGACAACCTGTTGAACAGATATGGTAACAAAGTAGGACTAATACAAACAAAAATGTGCACAAAAAGATCGTATGAATGTTCTTTCTCGCCATATAGTCATTTTGATTCAGAAAGATGAGTGCCATTTTATATATGCATTCATTGAGAATGCATACCTATCTTCTCCAGTACAATAATCCGGTTCTTTTTAACTAACTGAATTTGCAGATTAATTTAAATGTCATTTAGCTACTACTGTTGATTGAAGCTGCTGAAATGTTATGAAAAACATTTAAATCATCAAAAATTAAACAGCAGCTTTAAAAAAATAACACTTTTAAAAGTTAACATTGCAAACTCACACCCAATGGTGGCTTTGTGCTAGCTGTTAATATACCTGCTAATTGAAACCAGAGAAACCTGCAAATTGTCTGTGCCATTATCCATATTAATTTCAAAGATCTCAACACTTTTAGATGAGCTCTTGAGAAAGCTTGTAGAATTGCAGATAAGAAGACTGACAAAATCTGGGTGTGCTAGCAAAAAAATCTCACAATTAGGTACATTATCCTACACTAGCAGTACAAATAAAGTGTAAACTTTATAGTCAGCTATACAACAAGTTAAATAAAAAAACAAAACAGTAACTTGTTTATACAAAAGGCCAAAGGAAGTTATACCAACAGACATGTTTTAAAAATGTACTAAAGCAGATGTCCCCAACCTGTCCATGGCCTGTTAGGAACCAGGCCATGCAAGCGGCAAGCGAAGCCTCATCTCACCATGTGCGGAATCTACCTTACATGCAAAACCATCCCCCCTCCTCCGGTCCATGGAAAAATTATTTTCCAGGAAACTGGTTCCTGGTACCAGAAAGATTGGGACTCCTGTTCTAAAGCAATGTTTCCCAATTTCAGCAATTTTAAGATGCATAGGCTTTCATTTTAAAGTTTCATCTAAAGTTACTGAAGTTGAGGAACAGTATTCTAAAATGTCATAAAACAAAGTAGTCCAACTTTATTCAACCTCCAGTAGTTATACAGTACATAACTAGTTAAACATGTTTTCACCTAGACTGGAAATATCTTATTGCTATCCCATGAGTAACAACATTTATATGAAATTTAGTCTTCTGAAAGGCCAGATAATTTAAGTTTTAGCTTTTTATACTGATTTTTATACTATATGTACCCTAACTATAGCTTTCAATCTCATGAATAGCAATAGCACTTAGACTTATATACTGCTTCACAGTGCTTTAAGCCCTCTCTAAGCGGTTTACAGAGTAAGAATATTGCTCCCAACAATCTGGGTCCTCATTTTACCAACCTTGAAAAGATGGAAGGCTGAGTCAACCTTGAGCCGGTAAGAATCGAACTGCTGAACTGCTGGCACCTGGCAGTCAGCAGAAGTATCCTGCAGTACTATATTCTAACCACTGTGCCACCATGACTCCTAGCACATAATTTTTCTTTATATAAAGAAATATACCAGACAGACAATGTATCTTGATGAAAGATTTGTTTACACTTTGATCCGCATTTTATACAGTTACTCACATGCTCGTGGACAACAGCAGGTATCTGGACAGCAAGGGCAACGAATGTAACAGCAGCAGTTATGAGGACAGCATTGGCACCAGCAAATGCCGACTAGGAGAAAGAAAAGGAAAAACCCGAGGATCACCAAGCCTACAAACATCCATTCTGTAAACAAAAAGAAGACATATGAATAAAAGTTGGAGGTGTCAACCAATAACTGATTAATTGATCAATGAAATACAAATAATAAATGAATTACACAATACATAGGCTGAAAACAAATGCTGATCTTTAGCTCATTATACTTATTTGATAAAACCAGTTTAAATTAAAAGTAGACCCATGAATCTCAATCCTAGAACTATTTAAGACGGAAGAAATAGTATTTCCTGAGAGGGTCTATAAGGAGTAATACACTTTGTATTGTGTATTACGGAGAATGGCAATATAATGACACACATGTTTATGAAATAAAAAGCTCAAAATCCTCTTTTTGCTCATTTCAAATGGATATTTGTTCTGCTAATCGAAATTCGAATTTGTTAGCTGAATGAACAGCCAAAAAATTGGGCATAGAGAGGCGTGAGGATTTCCATCTAGAATATATGTATGGGATTATTTTGAAATACATTAAGCAATGAAATAATGAATAAAATAATTAATTTTATAATAATGACATAATAAAACAGTGTAATATAATATGCAATAATTCAAACATCATAAAGTTGCCAAATCATAAAAACTCATAATAAAAGATATCTTATAGCAATAATCAATTTGTGTGGTCTGGATGCTCTCTGATACCATTTTGGTGATATCTTTGAAGTTATTTCATTACTAAACTGGATAACATTATCACCAAACTAGGTAAGATCATCAGTTACTAGGTAATGAAACGACTGCAAGAAAACTGTCAAGTTCAGAGAGCACCAAGGATCCCACAGTTCAATCCAGAGCAATAACATTATCTTCTATCAATAATTAATCTTGAAGTTAGCCATTCCTTGGCCAGCTATTCCCTTATTGTTTGGCACCTCAACAGATAAAATATAGCTTCGTGATCTTTCTAAATGTCAATAGAAAAGAAGCTATCCTTAATTTGAATACAAGCTAAAATGATGACTATTTTATGTAACTAAAATTACGACTTTATTGGATTTATGAAAAAGCATGTAGTGTTGAAAAAGAACTGTTAGATTTTTAAGTAGGTTTTTAAAGTAGGTTTGTTTTAAAAGATCAGGAAACAATTTAACAATTCTTTATCAATGTATGTTTATACTAGAATATATACATCCAATTGTTGTAAACTGGTATAATTACAGTAGGCTAGGTATAAAAGGCTAGTAATGGAATCAAAATTCCCTAATATGCTGTCCATAAATGCTGGTATTCAAATCAAATGATCAGGAATCCATCATTCTTGTTGGGAATGAAAACCAATACATCTCAAGAAAACATACTGGTAAAATGTGCTCTGAATGTGGCATGAGATAAAGAATGGCCAGTCTTTATGTTGCCAGGATCTTTTTTTTTTTTGAATAGGAGGGCCAAAGCAGGGAAGATGTTGATGCAAAGAAAGTAGACCCATGCAACACACTCATGATAATAATTTCTTTTCTTTTTTTATGTTTTAAATGGGAACATTGTTTTAAGAATACAGTACATTTGATCTCTAAATAATGTAAGCTTCCTTACTGAATATGGTGTGAAACAATAATAGTAACCTATAAAATGAGGCTTAGGATTGACATTCATACATCGCTAGCATTTCAAACTCACTCAACCATGATCTTAATATTAATATAATTGATAATTAGTATTTAGAACATAAACATACTTCCCACGAAGTATCCATATTCACTTATACAATCTTAGCCTCTGAGTTATTGGGAGGGAAGGCAAGATATAAGTCTAATTAATAAATGAATAAAACACTCTTTTTACATCTCATCTTGACCTGTTAAAAACCTTACCACTCACCCCTACTCTCCATAAATTGCAGAGTTATTGAAGCGGTAAGGCTACAAGTAAAAGCAAAGAATAAATTCACGAACAAGGTACAGTAGAAAACAGAAGAACAGAAAGTGTTAGATGGCAGAGTACCTGACATAATATCCACAGCAAAACTGGGTAAGAGACCAGCAAGCATCCCTGTCCTGCCTAGAAAAGACCAGGAGGAATGGAAAGAAGGAAGTTAGTGCAGGAAAATCACTTCCCATTCTTTGTCTTAACATTAAGCTCATAGAACTGCATGGTATAAAGCCTGTATATGCTCTTTTAGAATATTGATCATCTCTGCTTTGTTTCTCATGACATACAGTAAGTACCTGTGATGAAATGCTTACTATTTTACATATTGTAACAAGTTCATTATAATATTCTATATATAATGCCGCAATATGCTAGCTGATACCATAAGGCTTTGACAGATACTCTTTTGTGTTTTCTTGACCATTACCTATTGATAAGTTACCTACGTTTTTCAAAAGTTACCCACAATACTGTCCACATTAGGTTGAACTTACTGTATGTATGAATATTGTCGTTCTGTTCTGCGTTTATATTTGGTCCAGCATGGATAACTTTATGTTTTGACTTTCATTACATTTCACTGGTAAAATTTTACATACAACTTAGGTAGATTTTAACATCATATACTTTATCTTAACTATGCAGGAGGCAACCTCATTTGGGCTTAATCAGGTTGTCATCAGTGCAAGAATGCAGATGGGAATACAGTAATTGTTCTTTTACCATATCAAGATATTCCTTTATAAGACCCTCCCACAAAATGGCTGCTGATCATTAAGAGGATTTTTCTCTCCTGCCGATGATTTACTGATTTTGCTGCCAAAGTTGGCTGTTTGGAAATGCTGCTCCCTGGATTTCAATGGAAACACTTAGGAATGATCCAAGATGACTTTTGGATGACCATGGACCCAACCTGGATAGAGGAATCTTGAAGATTGCAATTCCCAGTAGGAGAGGCTAGAAAGTCAGGTCTTTTCTTCTTGGCTGATCATTTTTTTAACCAAGTCTGGGTTTTAACTACTTGAAGTTTCTATTTTACTTTGCTTTTTATCTCTAAAAGTTAACTGACTGGTTGAATGCTGATTTATTTTAATCCCCTGCTAGACTTTATCTATTTTCTCTCTCGCTCTCTTTTTTGGGATTTACTTTGCTGTTTTGAATAACTATTCCTTTTCCGTAAGGAAGTTATAGCATGTTCTTGGGTAGTGAAAGTATCTTCATTTGATTTACATTTATATTGGACTTTCACTACAGGGATTTTGCATTTTATTAATTTGCAAAAAGTTTGGAGCTTGTTTTTTTTAAATTTTTCTTTTAATTTTGGATTGAAATATCCCAAAAAATATCCTCCCTGTTTCTCTATACATTTTTTACTGTGAAGAATATCACTTAAGCATTCTTTGTTCTCTGTCCTTGAAGAGCTTTCTTATCTTGGGTTGCTAAACTACAAGAGAGCAAATAATGTATCAGTTTATAGAAAAGGCACTCTGACTGGCATTTGTGAAAAGACTGCTTTTTAACATACAAACCCAATTTGAAAACTTTTTAAAAGTTTGACAAAATAATAATGCTACAAAGAATGCCCAGATGCAAGTAACTGCAGTTAAACCAGATTTACAAAAGGAACTTGGTTTGAAATTGGAAAATTTGGTGGAGAAGACTGAAAGAAATATGGACCTTACAAACTTAGAATTGATTGAATGAATAAGTCTCCCTTAAGAAGACTCAGGGAAATTGGGGAATGGATTTATTATATTCAACTGGAAAACAATTTCTTCTGGACTCTTGGAAAATAGATCGATTTTGGAGAATGGTTTTATTATATTTAACCAACTGATAAGAGATATTATTTAGAAGAAAACAAAGATATTTGACCAAGGACAAATCAGAGTTAACAGCTGAGATGGTTTGGGATAGTTAAGAAGCTGTGGTAAACTTTCTATAAGTTAAATACAAAAATAGATTGTTAACAGAGGGTTTTGAAATTTTAATCTTGTCTTCTTTTTTATCATTTCTGTTAATTGTTTTGTTATTAATATAATAGGTAGATGACAAATTAATAATTTTCAAATAAAGTTAGAAGTTTAAAAATTTTGAGCTTGTTTGGCAGGGGGTGGAATACTAATATTGTTGAATTATATTTAATCAGTGTTAAAACTAGTGGAAATAATATGCGTATATGTGTTTCTGCCCTTTTTAATGTACTTTTTAATGTCTTGCTTATTTTTTTTGTTCATTTCTGTAAAAAAAACCTTTTGGGGGGAGTTTTGTTTTTTAATTTTTTTAATAAAAATTCAAGATAAAAAAATATTTTTCTTTGTAAATGGACTAACGCTATATTTCTATATCAATTGAGGTTAATTCTTGAAGGATCAGTGCAAAGGTTATGACTACTTTAATCTCTGAGGGCACAAGCTACATGAAGTCTTCTGCCTTATGTACAGGACTTGGAACCCTGGTAGTGCAGTATCACAGGCAAACTCTGCCCACAGCCTGAAGCTTGATCCTGACAGGGCTCAAGGTTGACTCAGCCTTCCTTACTTCCAGGGCAAGGAAGGCTGCACCACCAAGGTGATGGTTTCTTACCTCCCGCCTTGAAAGAGGCGGTGGTAAGGCCCTCCTCAAGAAGCCTGCTCTGGATCTAGCTGTTTTGGCTAACTACCGTCCAGTCTCCAACCTTCGCTTTGTTGCGAAGGTTGTTGAGAGTGTGGTTGCGCGGCAGCTCCCACAGTACCTGGATGAAACTGTCTATCTGCATCCGTTCCAGTCCGGCTTCAGACCTGGGTACAGCACGGAAACGGCATTGGTCGCGTTGGTCGATGATCTCTGGAGAGCTCGGGACAGAGGATGTTTCTCTCTTCTGGTCCTATTAGATCTCTCAGTAGCTTTTGATACCATCGACCATGGTATCATGCTGCGCCCGCTGGAGGGGTTGGGAGTGGGAGGCACCGTCTTACGGTGGTTCTCCTCCTATCTCTCCGACCAGTCGCAGTCCGTGTTGGCTGGGGGGCAGAGGTTGACCTCGAGGCACCTTGTTTGTGGGGTGCCGCAAGGATCGGTCCTCTCGCCTCTCCTGTTCAACATTTATCTGAAGCCGCTGGGTGAGATCATCCATGGATTTGGGGTGCGGTGCCATCTGTACGCTGATGACACTCAGCTGTACATCTCCACCCCAGACCACCCCAACGATGCCCTTGAAGTGATGTCCCGGTGCCTGGAGGCTGTGCAGGTCTGGATGGGAGGAACAGGCTCCAACTCAACCCCTCCAAGACCGAGTGGCTGTGGTTGCCGGAGTCCCGATATAGCCAGCTGGTGCCATCGCTGGCTATTGGGGGCGAGTCATTGGCCCCCACGGAGAAGGCTCGTAACATGGGCGTCCTCCTGGATGCACGGCTGTCTTTAGAAGAGCATATGACGGCCGTGGCTAGGGGGGCTTTTTATCAGGTTCGCCTGATACGCCAGTTGCGGCCCTTTCTGGATCAGGACTCCTTATGCACGGTCACTCACGCCCTCGTCACTTCTTGCCTGGACTACTGCAATGCTCTCTACGTGGGGCTCCCCTTGAGGAGCACCCGGAGGCTCCAGCTGGTCAGAATGCGACCGTGCGGGTAATTATGGGGGCGACATGGCGCTCCCATGTAACACCTCTCCTGCGCGAGCTGCACTGGCTCCCGGTGGTCTTCCGGGTGCGCTTCAAGGTATTGGTTCTCATCTTTAAAGCACTCCATGGCTTAGGGCCCGGGTAATTACGAGACCACCTTCTGCCACCGATAACCTCCCACCGGCCAATTCGCTCCCACAGAGAGGGTCTCCTCAGGGTGCCATCGGTCAAGCAATGTCGACTGATGACCCCCAGGGGGAGAGCCTTCTCTGTGGGGGCACCCGCCCTCTGGAACGAGCTACCCCCAGGAATACGACTGATCCCGGACCACCGTACTTTCCGCCGAGCGTTAAAGACCTTCTTATTCCAGCAAGCCGGGCTGGCTTAAAATTTTAATGGGTTATTTTATGGGGAAAGGGTTTTAAAATTTAGGGAAGCCAAACTGATTTAATTCTGTTTTAATTCTTTTAATTTTTATACTGTATGTGTTTTAAATTTTGCCTGTTCACCGCCCTGAGTCCTTTGGGAGAAGGGCGGTATATAAATTTAAATAATAAATAAATAAATAAAAGGTCGGTAAACTGCATCACCAAGGTCAGTAAACTGTGCCACCAAGGTCGGCAAAATGAGGACCCAGATTGTTGGGGGCTATATGCAAATAATGCTTACATTGTAAACTGCCCAGAAAGTGTTGGGGTGGTATATAAGCCTAAATGCTATTTCTATTGCTATTATACATATTACTTGTATGTATGTAATATATCCAGGCACTATTATACACATTTTAAATGGCTATGCTTTCTGCATCTATTATTATAGCTTGAATTCTAAGCCATTTATTTCATTGTTTACATTTAGGCTAGTCCTTCCTCAGATAATATTTGCATGATTTGTATTTGAATTTCTAACTACATTTTTGTTCTTTGGAACTGCATATTTCGCCTTTCATGTTTTGTTATAAGAAGCATAATAAAACAGAACACTATTGCAAAACATGGGATAAGCTTCATTTAAAAAAAAAACAAAGTTTGCAGTTTCATAAGTGTGGCAAACATGAAAGTTATTACACGAGCAAAATTTATTATTACCATTCAGATTCTATATTGTATGTTGTTGCATTCAATGTATATGTATATAATTTATTTTCTTAAAGGTGCATTCAATCCTTTCATATAAGGTTTGGGAACTGATTCCAAATAGATCTGAGTTCTTCCAAACAGACAGATCTGAGAATTTTCAACAGGTTGCACTGGCAGGAGCACTGATGATGTTACCTAGTTTTGGGTAATAAAACATCTGCAAGAAAACAAACAAGCTCAGAGAGCACCAAGGACCCCTCAATTTTCAACAGCCATTTAAGGCAGGATCAGTACAAAATATTGAAATTAATGCAATAGGAGCATGTCTGCAATCTTCAGAGCCGATTCCCAGTTGCTCTTAAGGCATAATGAACAAGTATGGGAGGCCTTTTTATGCATACATCCATGAGGCATAAGCTTCTGTAGCATTGTACTTGTAGAAGAAAACT